ATGTCGAGCTTTCCGTCCTGGTAACGCCGCTGTTATACTTTGCAAATCGTTCCACTCGCTACTAGCGAATCGCTCGATTCGCAAAGTCTGACTCCTGGCTGATAGCTTAATATCCTAATGGAGACAATATTTGTCTGCCCAAATCTTACACTAACGTTTCCATTCACTGCATCATTCTGCATTCTCAGTTTCTCAATTTCTCGAAGGTTTTCAGGAATGACAACTCGTCTCGATTTGGCAAGTTCATCCAAATTAATTTTGATGACAAGTTTACGATATCTGGAGCGGAAATAAAAACCTACTTGCTTGAAAAAAGTCGGCTTGTTTTTCAGGTAAACTTATGACATTTAAGTTGTTTCCTTCTTCATCTCACACCTCAACTGTGATAATAAGAAAAAAATTCAGGCGCGTCAGGAGCGAAACTACCACATTTTTTACCAGCTTTGTGCGGCTCGTGATCATCCACTGCTGCAGGATTTTGCTCTCGGTATGAGTTTGAAGAATCCTTTCAGATTAATTTGAAGAATTTCCGTAAACAAGTGAATTTATTGAAGTGTTACTTGACTTTATTTCATTGTTTTTTTCCTCAGGACCCAGTGACGTCTATTGGTACACTGCGCAAGGCGGAGATAGCAGAATTCCTGGTGTTAACGATAGGGAGGATTTTGAAGAAACCGTGAAGGTAGTAAAGAATTTTTCTCTTGTAATCGCTCCCTCTATGATTTTCCTGCTTAGGCTCTTGATTTGCTCGGCTTTGACAGCGAGAAGCAGAGATCCGTGTTTCGGATACTTAAAGGTATTCTGCTTCTTGGCAACATAGAATTCAGAGGCGAGGGAGACAGTTCCACAATCTCGGTACGCCAACTTTTCTTTTTATGCTTCCAAAATTTCTCTATTCCAATACCGTCGAAAGTAATCTTTTATAGCCGATGAACGCTGCTGAGATTTCGCAGCTATGTGCAGACTACAAAATCGACGAAACGCAGCTGCGGCTCTGGCTCACTGTACGAGAGATCCGCGCGGCAGGAGAAACTGTCAGGAAAGGTCTTCAACCGCGTGAGGTAAGCATTCTTATAAGCAGCAAGCTGTGATTAAATCGCCTGCTACCACATCTATAATATTATCTGTGCTTCAGGCCTGCGCATTAAATATAGTCTTTCTTAAGTTTATAGTTTTTTATTCCATAGTTACTGCATTCATTTGAAAACCTTTGCTCGAAAATCCGCTGCTTATTCGACTCCTCATGTATGCGTTTCAGGCTGTTCGATCGCGTGATGCCTTTGCTAAGTTACTCTATGCGCAGTTGTTCTCGTGGTTCGTTCGTCACTTCAATGACACCCTTATGGAGAAGGAGAGGAAGATTTCGCGCTATAAGAGTTTTATAGGAGTGCTTGATATCTACGGGTAAGTTTTAATCCTTTTCGATTGCGTCCGAATTCTTTTCCTCTCACCAATTCCCCCTTTCTACTATGCATACCAGTACGTTTTACCTACAGTCGGATATTGCGTCGTGGTTAGGTTAGCGCTGATGCCATCGGCTGTCCACAGTTGTGGGTTTCACCTTTTGCAAATGATGGTGTGACATTTTCGACGATATCCTACTATATAGTGTAAAATTTTGAGTAGTAACGGTAATAACTCGTGGTGTTACGAACTTGATTCCTAAGCTGGGTTCAACCAGATGTCAGCGAATATGCAGGCTTGTCTAAACTCACTCCTCGCACGTTTCCTTTGCTGATAAGCGTTGGGATCGTTCTGTTAACTGGAAAATTTCTGAGAATGAGCGATTCTTAACACTTTTGCCGTTCACATGTGTTCAGTCGACCAAATTTCAGGTTCGAAACCTTTGACGTGAACAGTTTCGAACAGTTTTGCATCAACTATGCTAATGAGAAGCTTCAGCAGCAGTTCAATCAAGTGGGCTTTTGTTCGTCGTAGAAACCATGTGTTTTGCAAAGGATTCGAGTGTTCCTTCTTGCTCTCAGAGAACAATCTTGTTCTCTTTTTAGCACGTTTTTAAATTGGAGCAGGAGGAATATGAACGAGAAGAACTGTCTTGGGTTCGCATAGATTTCCACGACAACCAGCTGGCGATTGACCTTATCGAAGGTAGACCTGGGCTCATAGAATATCTCAACGAGCAGTGCAAGGTAAGAGGAATTTTGAGTCATTGCTACAATGTTCTGTTTTGAAAGTCACGACGAATGTTCAGGTGGTCAATGGCTCCGATATTGAGTGGTTGAATCAAATAACAACCTCTGCTCCGTTGAAGAAGAACGCTTATTTACAAATACCGCGTGTCAAGAGCACTAAATTTATTGTGAAACATTTTGCCGCTGATGTGAGAATTTTGATGGCACTTCAATTTTTTCATAGATTATTTCTCATATAGAATTTTAGGTTTCATACACCGTGGAAGGATTTATGGAGAAGAATAAGGATGCAGTCAGCAAGCAGTTGTTGGAACTGTTCTCCCTTTCGGCTGTCAGTATTTAACACATTTCGTTACTGTTGGTTTTTTTACTGGCTTGTTTCTTGTCCGACCACATATTATTTTGTAGACAATTTCCCAGTATTTCTCTAACAGGCTGATCCCCCTGTTAAAGAAATACTGGGAACCTCCCTTCACTACGTAAGCTTCGCGTTCCTCCTCTCCTTATCCTCCCATTCTCACTCCACTGCTATCCGGCTGCCACTGCAGCAGGAGTTTATATAGCCGTTGGGGTGTTATCACAATTCATGCCATTGCAAAACATTGATAGGGCAAGTCCTGCGAGCTACCCGATTTGTTAGCGGTTTGTTTATTCCATTAGCTGCCTTATCACTCACTTCATTTTGCGGACGGACAGAATGACATACACACGGACGAACCGAGACGCAAAGTTGTGGTTCACATAATGGAGTGATACACTGTTTACATTTCAGTTTCCTCTACTTCGAGAAATTCTCGGATCTGCTATCGTTTTCGATGACACCGTACCCACGAAGCAAACTGTTAAAAAGACCGTTGCTGGACAGGTGCGACTACTAATTCTTTACGGAAATTAACGAGCCGAATATGCTTACAGTTCTTTACGCTCCAAATGATAATTTTGAGTTGCTCGTTTCAGTTTCGAGATTCTCTTCGTGACTTGATGGCAGTGCTTTGTACGACACGCCCTCACTATGTGCGCTGCATCAAGCCCAATGATCTGAAGGAGAGGTAGATATAGGGTCAAAACTTGCCTTATATCGTATGGCCGATATGTGGTATGCTAGCCGTCATTATTTTTGCAATTCTCTAGGTTTCATTTCGAGCCAAAACGAGCCATCCAACAATTACGGGCTTGTGGCGTTTTGGAAACAGTACGTATTTCCGCTGCTGGTTTCCCTACCCGGTATAGTTTCATAAATCATTTATGATCCTTTTCTTTGCTGAATATTTCTGGAATCAGTGACGTAGTATTCTTAATCGCTCTTTGAAACTTAGCTTCCATTTTTGATTTCTCTTTGTTTGTAACTGCTGTTTTACGCCGCAGTTCGCGTTGCGAAATGTTTCACAAGAATGCTGGGTTGTGAACAAAACTTTCGCCCCAGGCGGGACTAGAACCCGCACCTCTCGCTTTCCGGGCAATTGTGCTACCAGTTACACCACCGGAGCACCATTTCACCCCAACTCGGCTTGCTACCAGTTGCACCTCGGGGGCTCTATTTCGTCCATCTCAGCTTTCGGCTTTGCAGTTTACTGCCTTTATAGGCCAATCATTCGTGTAAGCTACGGTAAATTTACCATCGAAGCTGAGTTGGGGTGAAATGGTGCCCCGGTGGTGTAACTGGTAGCACAATTGCCCGGAAAGCAAGAGATCCGGGTACGAATCCCGCTGGGGCGAAAGTTTTGACCACAACTGAGCATTCTTGTGTGAGCTTGAGCAGTTTTTCCTTCTAATTTTCAAGTATGTTAAAGTCACTCAATTTAAGATGGACTTATGAAGAATTTGCACGTCGCTATCGCGTCCTCTATCCCGAGGGAAAAGCTATATGGCGAGATAAGCCGAGGATGTTCGCTGAGAAAGCATGTCACAAATGTCTCGAGGTTGATTCCCTCAGGCTCTTCAATTGTGCTCTTGTCATTCTTATGTCATACTTCCGATCTTCTTTCAGGAAGGTAAATTTGCTCTCGGGAAGACTAAAATCTTTTTCCGTACCGGTCAAGTGGCATTACTGGAACGTGTTCGAGTAGAAACCCTCAGTGTATCTGCAACCGTCATTCAGTCAACTTGGCGTCGATTTGTTGCCAGACGGAAGTATCTCGTTCTTCGCAAAAGCTTGCTCACGATTCAGGTATGAAGATTGTATATTGACTAGAACGGCGATTTAGCCTGCTACTATCACCATCGGGCTGCTCATACTTGAATCATCCTAAGAAAATCCTATGATTTTCCGCGCAGACATGGTTTTTATATGTCTTCGACTTTTTCGCTTTTTTTGTGATTTCCTCCATCGTTTTTGTTATTTTCCATCGCTTTCGGATTGATCCTCGTTGCGCGGTATTTAGCTCAATTACTGAAAGATGCTGTAGAGATGGATTCGAAATTATGGAATTTTCGGTTTGCTGCAAGTTCTTATTCGTGGGATTAATATGAAAACCCGATTGATGAGGGCAGCTGCGCACATCTCTGGGGAGAACGCCTCAAACTCATGTTCCTTGGCCTCGTTTTTGAATGGTTTCGGGAGCTTCCAGCAGTGGCGTTGCTGTTTACTTTTAAGTTCAATAAGTGTTTCAGCCTCCGTATTGCAGGCTGCGACGAGAGCTTTTCTTGCCACCAGACGTCTGTTTTATCTGCAAATGCACCGGGCTGCTATTGTAATTCAAAGCTCTTACCGGTACGACTTCATTCTTATGTATATAGTAAGGATTCTCAAAAACTGCTCTGGTTTTCGCTTTCTATCCTCCTTCGGACTCGAAGAGCATGTATAATCATAGCAAAAATTTAATTGGTCTCATATGAAAGTAGTTGCCGAACTCTTGTTAGGGAGCGCTATTGTTCGGATCATAAGAAAATCGCAGTGTGCTGAAAGGGCTTTCACTTTGAATGTTTTGTTCCGATTTCTTCGTTGCAGGCGTTTGTTTGTGAGCAATTTTTATGCAGGCCATTGTTGCTTTATTGGTTGAAATTCTCCTTACAGACGATATATTTGTGAAAGCCGCTACCGTAAACTTCGTTGTGCTGTGGTCGCTATCCAGTCTCATTTCCGTGCTTCCAAAGTCCGAGCATATGTACAAAAGGTTTGCATTATCATCCACATGTACTTGTATCACCTGCACCAATTTCTTCCTTCAAGCTGCCTCTCTCAAAACCTAAAGCCAAAAACTTAGGTACAGCTGTCATTTGGCAGTCCCACTGTGGTAGCTAGTGGGCTGCTAGGGCTGCTATGTGAAAGTGGCAGAAGAGCTTTGTTCTATTCGGTTGTCCCATAATTAGTGAACCAATTTACATTTAGCGTATAGCTATAATACTTACGGTATTGCTATGAAAATTCCGGGAAAAAATGTTGAAGATGTGAAACACCCACATTTCCCACCTAAGTCGGTTCATTTATTTGGTGCCTTCCGTAGCTATTATTAGGTTGAGCGGAAATTACCTGATAGAATCACGCGGTTAAAGGTATCTTCTATATGCGCGCCCATAAGTTATTAATAAAACAAACAGCCAAAATGTCTCAAAATCAGAGTGCTTAGCAGTCGAAACCCACTTTTCTAGGCCGGCACACGTGCTTCAAGTCCCAGAGCTATCGCCGTGACTATCTAATTGGAATAGCGGGGCATGGGAGGAGGGTGCTCCGGCAGAGCAGCGATCAGGGCAAGCTGGGAGGGCGCAGCGGATATGCGAGTGAGGCGGAGGGAGGAATAAGGAGGGTGGGGTGTAGCGACGGTCAGTTGCAGCACAGCATACGTTTACAAGCCTTAACTGTTTCAGTAAGCATGAGTAGGTACAATTTGTCTGTTTCGCGAGATGTAACGTTCAGTATTGAAGGCATCTTAGAAACGAAAAACGTTGTGTGATTGAAAAAGGAAAACCAAGAGGAGAAGAAAAACCCCCACGGAAACTGGAAAAAAAAAGCAGAGGCCTGTACCCAAGAGGGCATGTAAGCCCGATGATTGTGCGCTTTTTAAGGTTACATCATATAGTGCCCCAAAACATAAGTCGAGTACAAAACTCAAAAACCCGGATTAGCAACCTGAAGAACACGCGGGTCCACATGGTTCACATACAACCTAAAGTATAACTCGATTTCTATTTTCGAGAAACTCCTTTTGTGGGAGCTGTTGTAGCCTCATCCGGCCACCTTCCCCACATGAGAGGAAATCTTTCAACTGGCCCAGATTGACAGAAGCATAGAATAGGAACCGTAATAGTCCAGGCTAGGCCGAAGGTGCATGCGTCCTTCAATTACCGCAGTGCAACATGACCTGATGGCTTACTACAACTTGCGACCGCATAAGCTTCATTCGAGCCCACAAAGTTGCGCCCAAGCAACTAGAATTTGGGAGCATCTGGTTTTTGAGAGAAGAAGGCTCCACAGGACCCAATAATTGTGACCACAGGGTTGGCTAAATGTCGAGAACCGGGGTTATCGGCCCTTCCAATACGAGAAACATTTTCTCAAGGATGCTAGCAGCATTAGTATTCCGGACAGAACAACTGACTAGTCTCTCGCGATCCGAAGAGAATTAAAGCCGCCGTAATCGTGAAGAAATAATACTACTTTATCCAGACGGGTACGGAAATCAAAACTTCTTCAAAAGTTAGTGTCTCAATGGAAGCAGTTTCACGTGTTTTACAACACGCTCGTGACAGTCCATGTCTGGAGGATAAGAAATACGCTTTCAGTGAGAAGAAATCAGAGAGAAAAACGAGCCATTTTTCTTTGAAAGCTCAGCCAGTTCGAGTGAAGCGGTGGCATTCTTTCATTTGCGACTTTTGATTTGCGTCTTTCTTTCTCTTAACGTTTTTCTTTCTCAGATCGGTTTTCTACTTCGTAGCACACATGTATGGAGAAGAAAATGATCAGGAGGATGGTCAGAGGTTCCAAAATATTATCAGACAGATAAAAAAGTGTCCTCACTTCGCTCCACTTAGTAAAACTTTTTGAGAAAAATGGCTCGTTTTCTCTCTGATTTCTTCTCACTGAAAGCGTATTTCTTATCCTCCAGACATGGACTGTCACGAGCGTGTTGTAAAACACGTGAAACTGCTTCCATTGAGACACTAACTTTTGAAGAAGTTTTGATTTCCGTACCCGTCTGGATAAAGTCGTATTATTTTCTCACGATACGGCGCTTATCTCGGTCGGATAGTAATCAGGGTTCTTCCCAGAATCATATCCTGTAGCATCCTTGAGAAACTTGTTCGTTATGAAGCCACCCCGACAAATTCTAGCGTGAGCTGACACTTCAACAACTCCTGCGTCTCTTTTGCTAGGGTTTTCCTTTTACGGAAGTTCGACAGCGGTTTTGCCTTTGCTATAAGCTAAGGGACTTGAGTGGGTAATAATTTCAAAATTTGATTGGGTAAAAGCAAAATGCAGCAGAGAAACATGTGGTGGAACTATGATTTTGCGTCATAGGCAAGTCGGGTATTTTCGAAAAAATGAGGATAAAAATTTTTTGCTTTCTCAAACTGGATTTCCGTGATAATATTCAGATTCGCATTTGCATGTGTCACAATTTGTCTGTAGAGCCCTTTTCAAAAACATCTCCAAATTCTAGTTTTTGGGAAATTTGTAGGTGGAACTATAATTATGCGTCGCACGCATTTCAGCTGAGAAACCCCGAAAATCTCTCTGAAAAGTCTGTCATTGGAAAAAGAATCTGGGCAGATAACCGTTATTTGCCAGAGCGCTACTGATGTGTTAGAATGACACTACTGGGACATTCACATAAAGTCGTCTTCTGGAGTTGAAAACGCTCGAAAAGAAGATTGTGGTGACTTTTATGTGCCGTTTGGTCGACCCACCTCTCTCAGTTCGGGTAAATCAGTCACAGCGAAAAAAGTCCCTCTAACAGAATGTCCAAGATGGTCAAAATTTTCAATGCGTGTCCCCAAAGAGTCTTCATGAACAGGCCAACATTCCTTGAGAAGTTGCTTGGTTGCATATCACACAAGAAACAAAGGCTGCACCAGTTGAACTAGCTGCAACACGAAACTCTGTTGCCATCACCTTACTCATTAGACCTCTTGGCCACGGTCCATCACCATCTCACCCATCTGGGTGGCTTCATGAGAAATACTTTGAAACATAATATGTTGCTGGAATAACTTTCGCAGAGTTCGTCGCTTTCAGTATTCGCGAGCCCTCGAAACAGGATCAACCCTACCGTTGGGATTTTTTGAAAAATTTTACGACTCCACTCCATCATGAGATGATTTCATACGACCTCTTCTTCAGAACTTCGTTTCCTCAGAAGCACTGTCGAGCGTGGGGGGTAGAGGGTATATAACTACCATGACACACGGTGTAACGGCCCCCTCACTACATGTAATTTCATGCTACCGATGCAAGTACGACCCCCCACAAACTCAACAAACTACGACCCCCCCCCCGTTGGTACTTGTCCCAACGTAGGGTTGACCCTGCCTCGAAACAAGCAGACTCTGAACAATAAATTACCTTTTGTCAATATCGTGTTGACAGATATATTTTGTATCGACCGGAGCGTTCTTGTTTGAGCCGAGATGTGCGTCTTCAGAATTGACGTTCGAAAACAACAAAATCTTCTCAGGCGACATAGCCCTTTACTGTTTTTATCACCGATAACTCTGTACCTCCCTTTTCTCGTAGTGGATGATGTATTTTGTGTTGACATTTTTTCTTTTTAGTTGCGCTTTGAGAGCTCGGCGGTCATTATCCAAAAGTACTGGCGTGGTTACCTGGCACGAAGAGAAGGTATCCAGTTTCGACGTAAGGTTGTGCTCGTTCAGTGTTGTGTACGGCGATGGTTGGCGAAAAGGCGTCTTCGAGAGCTCAAGGTAAACAAATTGTATCTCCGCAGTCGCAATCGGTTCTCTGCTTTTCGAAATTCGCATTGTTTTTTCTACTTTGGATTCGCTTCTCTATAATTTTCCTCACAGAAAGGCTTTTTCTTTTAGATCGAGTCGCGATCTGTGGTTCATCTTCAGAAGCTCAACACTGGCCTAGAAAACAAGATCATTGATTTGCAGTTGAAGCTTGACCTAATGGTGAGCGGAACTTCGAATAATGATACCCTTTTCAACAAGCTGTGCATGAAAATAGACGGACGCGATTATGGGTAACCAAATGGGCTAATGTAAGCTTGAAACAGTGGGGTATACCACTGCATTTTTTGGGATAGAGCTGCTCATGTAGTTCGCACATGTCCAGTTCATCCGGTTCAAAGTATGCAGCCAAGGTCTTGCGAAGACCGCTTCAACTGCTTCCATTTTGCCTTGTCAGCACAGGTTAATGTTAGTTTCTGACAGTTATGTCCCTCGTATCCTCTCTTCCGTGCTCAGTTCCAATTTGTTCTCGGGGCTTGTCATTAAATGAATAATATAGTTGAATAAGATATGGCACATCTGACCCGTTAGCAGGGTCGGCCTCAGTTGTACCGTGTTCAACGAGGGGGGTCGTATTGCTTTTTTGTGTCGATGGCGGTGACAAAGGGGTTGTATTTGAGATTCCCATGCAGGTTGTGGTGATGGAAGTGGGGGGGTCGTGTTGCAGTGGAAGTGGAGGGTGGGGGGGTTGACAAATTTTTCGACGATTTCGAGGGAAAGTAAGAAGAGAATCATGGAATAGGCGAAGTTGGAGGATTTGTCCTTTCTATATATTTATGATCCCCTCCCCGTTTAACAGTATGGAGTTGGGAGGAAGTGCGGAGATCCTTAGGCGGAGTCGTATGGGGATTCCTTTCCCATGATTGATGGTGGTGATGGCGGGGATCGTGGAAATTTCTGAAATTGGCACAACGGGCGATTGACCCTGCTCCTTAGGATCGAATCATGCTTTGCAGTTCAGCTGCGCTTCGGGTGTGCAGCACTAATGCATATCCCCGTAAATCGTCAAATCCATCGATGCACCGATCGATACGTGATCTGTCCACATGTGTGCAAGCATACCTGCAAGTGATGATTGAACTTATGAGTTAACTCTTCGGGCTAGCATTCTATCGTATTTTTCAATGGAATGAATTCTGACGCACCCGTTTCAACTAATTTTCAAACGAGATCCAGTATTGTTGCTGGTCTCTAACTTCATGAATCGACTAGGACCTCGACTGTCTACCCGTGTAGACTGCTCGGAGGCACATTCGTCTAGCTGCGCGCTGTCTTGAAGCGTCATTTAGTCGTAAAGCGATATACTTCTTACAAGACAAAGACTGTCCTTATTATCAGTTCCCAACTGCTGATGTGGTCTGCTAACTATCATAGCCTCGGAACGGTGAGTGGTAGTTGGTAGTACCATTTGTTCTTGCCATGATCCAACGAAATTGTAGAATTAGGGGCCATGCAGATTACTTGTGCATGAGGGAGGGGGGTGGAGAGAAGGGAAGAAGGTGACAGAAAAAGTCGCTTTGCCCCAGACGCTATACTACCTGATTTTCCCTCTTGTGCATGTTGGTACACATCATTCTACTTTATCATTTGTTTTATGTTCCTCTTGTAGACGTCCGAGTGTAGTCGGCTGAAGACAGCTGAAGAAAAGCTCCTGTCGGAAATTGCAGCGCTTGAGGTCAAAAGGTGAGATGATCCGCTTCGGTAAAGAATGTTGGTTGTTATGTTTTTTTTTCAGGAAGGAGCAGGAGGCTTGTGCGGCTCAAAAGGAGGAAGAGTTAGCTCTAGAAGTTGAACGACTTGAGACCGAATGCGATGTAAAAGAGGCGCAAAAGGGAGAACTTGAAACTAGGATACATGAGCTGACTTCTCGGCTAGATCAGGTTTATTTTCAGAAAGCTGTTATTATTCAGTTACAGTATTCGTATATTGTTAATTCTTGTATTTTCTAGAACAAAGTGGAGGCATCGTTGAAGATCACGGAATTAGTGAGCGAGTTGAAAATATCAAACTCAAATGCAGTGGCTGTAGAGGACGATCTTAAAAAGACGCGAAGCGCTCTTACCGCAGGTCTTTAGATATTTAATTTGTAGCGAAATTATTGATATTCTGCAATGTTATCTTTATCAGAAAGCGAACGTCGTGCTGTTATGGAGCATGAATTGAGTCTTATGCGTGACCAACTACTGCAAAACGCAAATCTTCTCGCGTCTTCTCACTTTAGTCGAAGTGGCAGCATGCGGAGTGATCAAGGTCTTGCTCAGTCGTTCTCTTCACATTTAGCACTGAGAAATTGGATTTATTTACATTGCACAATTCAGGACGTCAGCCGTTCTCTTTGTTAGGACCTGATGGCAATTCTGTTTCTCTAAGCGGCGGTTCCAGCGATTTGGAAGAAATCGCCCTCATCCTTCGTCAACAACAAATGATAAATGATTTACGTATGAGGTAAGCGAACAACTGCCTTATGTTGTGGTAACATTTAATCGCCAAAGGTGGAATTATCTCTTTCGAAATACGAACGATGCAAAATTCTGCTATGAAGTTGAGAAGAAATCTCTTTTTTCAAATTTTTCTTTTTTTTTTTGAAAATTTCGTGGGTAGTATTTATGACCAAAGAGGGTAGAGCGTTCTCAAGGCCTCCATCCTCTGGTGGGTATAGTCGCTGCAATCGTACGAGTATCTCCACAACTAATCCATATCAACGACCAACACTATTTGCAGTAGCTGTTGCGTAAGGCTGGTGTCAGAGTTCGGCGGGAACGTCATTCACCGCTACACTGCCTTTCACATGTACCAGTGTTATCGACCTTTTGATATTTCTATAAAACACCCAGCGCTTCGCATATTCATTACAATTAGAGCTGTTGCGTAAGGCTGGTGTCAGAGTTCGCGATCCGTCGCGCGACGGATCACAGAAATCACAAGTGCCCCGATCAATACTGCGAGGTGCTCTCCAATCCCGCCGCCATTTCTGCTTGATGGTGATGGTTGAATGACGACTGTTCATGATTCTACTTGTTTCATATTCAGTGTTTCAAATGTTCAAATGGGACACTTGAGATTGTTGCGACGGATCGCGGACTCTGACACCAACCTAAGCTCGCTTCCCAATTCCTCGATTGAGTACCGTTGTGGAGATAGAGGTTGAAATCGAAAATGAGAAAAAGTCGTGCAGTACTCTCTTTCTACCTAATACTTACCAATTCTCAATTCATTTAGCAAGGCGCGAAGTGGATCGCCAATGAGGAAAAAAGGAACTTCTGAAAACACTGAAAATGGAGCCTTCTTCTTTGCGCGCTGATTAATCCTCAAAGGCAGACAGTCCAACAAAACACTGGAAACTGTGAGGGATACTGGCCGACGAGGCGAGTAGACGAAGCTCTGGTGCTTCCTTAATGCACTTATGGTCCGCGATATTGGCATTGGCAAATCAATCTGCAAGCTCTTGTTTTTTACTCTGCCCACTTCTGTGTACGCTGCGCACACCTATAGCAGATGACGTTCCTACCTTCGCCAGGCTCAAATTTCTTCAACGAAATCCCCTCCCGTCGGCGGCAGTTGTGGAGTTTGAACTGAAGGCGAAGCTGGAATATGTTGAGTCGTTTCGCAGTGGTAAAGTATAAGTAACCTGTCCCACGCTGCTGAGTGTAAGGCCAGGAGGTGGGAGTCGTCTCGGGAGCTCTTCAAGAGAGTGCCGTGAATCTCCGAAAATGGCACAACGCGAAGGCCGATCTCGTGTCTCATCTACCGACAGCAGTTGACTCTTGCCTCGGCCTCTATCCACCCTTTTCCTGGTTTTCGTGCAGTCTCGAAATTCAATCATGAGCATTTGTAAGAAACGTCGCCCAGTGAAGGGCAGATCCCGCCCATTGTGGGCGAGCTCACGCTCGCTTCAAGTATTCTGGGAAGACCTACAGATCTTCTACACCCATTTTTCTTGTGAGACGTTATCATGATCAAGCTGACAACTTTGAATGAATCCTGCCCATTCAGAGGT